TCAGTCCTAAGCTACTTCTGGCAAACTCTATTGTCTTCTTCACTTGCTTTGCTGTCAGTCTGTAACTGGTGATTCGACATCTCCATGAGAACAAGATCATTGTTTTGTTCTCTGAGTAATTCTTGTTAATACATCACTACATACTGTATGTTCATTTATATGTGATAAATGAATGAAAGTATTCTGGCTTATCTTATCAAACAGCAAGAACCTTGTAACTTTACAAGTAAACAATTTCTGTATAGGAGATATTATTTAGAAATTTATTTTCTACCTTATATTCCCATGTTGCATTAAGACTCATAACAGAGATAATGCACACTGTCCAGTAATCAAAGCTTTAAGGATATGTACATTTTAAGACTGGTAGCATGCTAAAATATGCCCTTTGACTGAAAATAAAGTTTTTTTTTTGCTTCCCTTTGCAGGCAAAGGTAGAATGTTTAGTTTATAATTTTGTTTGAATCATTGTTAACACTACTTTACTTGTTGAAACTTTAAAAACTCAAAGCAGGAATGGGATAGATGGTTCAGTGGTAAGAGCACTTGGTAAACAAACACGAGACGCTGAGTTTAAATCCCAATGCCTGTTTAATAATCTGCTTTCTTCCACCTGAAACCACAGCACTACAAGAGGTGGAGACAGGGTTTTGGAGGCTTGTTTTGCATCAGCCTAGGTGCATAATCCTTGTAAAACCTTGTCTCTAAGAAATAAAGTGGAGGGTGATAGAACAGGATACTCAAACACTACTCTTATCTCCACATGTGAACTCCATCTACAGATATGCTAATGTCTACAGCAGGTGTGCATATCACACACACACACACACACACACACACACACACACACACGTCTGCACACACACGCACCCCTCAAAACAGTTTGAGGATTGACTATGTCCTTAATGTTTTACTGGAAGATTCTAATTTTTTTCAGTAGAATTTAAGAGATATTTATGTAGACACACCCATAAAATTTGTATCAACTATTTGATCTTTAGTAGAGAATCTATTGGTTAGTATGGCTATGTAACAGATCACCCCCTTTATAGCTAAACTCAAGCCTTGTCTTCTTAATCATATGATATCCATGATTTAGTCAGTGATTCTGCTGATCAGGCTTAGGCCATAATGATTTCAAATGTGTCGTTACATACAACTCCTGTGTGTCAGCTATTAGCTGGGACATTGACCAGAAGCTGGTTGGTCAAAGATGAACTCTTTTGATGAAAAATAAACAAACAAATAAAAACAAATCCTTCTTGTTTTCTTGATCACATCATAAATGAACAATGTATCTCTTCCAGGCAAGGACAAAGGAAGGAAATGAAAAGCCCACTAGCACTTTTTTCTTCCTGTTTGCTTTTGTCATATGACCATCCCCATAGTCAGATGAAGATGCTGCTATAATGTTAGAAAGCAATATAGACAGGAGAAAACTTGAATTGAGTTCAATAGGATAAGTAATAAAGGAAGAAAGGAAAGACATGGAGAAGACAAAATTAAAGCAAAAGAGGCTTGGGGATGGGTAGAGATGAAAAAGAGGTTGCAATGTGTAATCTGGAGATTAAATTGCCTAGAAAGATACAGGAACTAAGACACAGGACCTGGCAAAGATGTTCTTCTGTGTATATACAATATGAATCACAACATAACAGGGTCCTTCAGTTGATAACTATGTAAATTCCATCCTGAAAATGGGAGAGGAAGAAGTGACTCCCATAAGTCAAAATATGGGAGAATGGAAACAGATTACCAATTACAGTAATGAAACTTTAATTTTTTTCCTAAATGTAGTAAAAAAAATGTAATTTTGTTGCAGGTGGATCAAATGGTCCTGGGCACCTCACAGTCACTTATTCTCTGTATTTTGCAAAGTTGGGGATTTCTGTCATGTTTTCCATCTTTTGCCAAAAGTGTCTTTAATGAGGGGTGAGGGCTACATATGTCTGTGTGTATTAAAAAGAAGTATTTAGAACTCAGAAATGTTATTGGTTTCAGAGCTTGGCAATAATAGGTTCTCCTCTAGGGTCTATGACCTCTTCTTTCTGCAGATAGTTAGCTTATGGAGCATTATGGAAGCAGGAGTAGAAAGACTCTAAGAGCCAGAGGAGCAGGATGTCTGCTGCTAGACTGTGTCTTCTAGACATGACAGGGTTTCTGTACTCATGCACCTATATGTTTGCCTAAGATATGTCTGTCTGTATGTAGTATGTATGTATGTATGTATGTATGTATGTATGTATACATTATCAATAGAACCTATATAGTCCACACACATTTATTTTTCACACAGGTGAAAAATTAATCTTCCATAGCTTGATAGAAGTTTTATCTCATTACTTTGCTTAATTGACAGTAAGCACTGATAATATAGAATTTTAGAGTAGTGCAAAGCTGTTCTATGATTAAATTTTTCTCCTTCTTTGACATGTTTTGAACCAAAGATTTTCTTGAAAAATCAATAACAATAGAACAGCTGTTTTTTTGACATGGTTGTATCTTACCTATAACAGATTTATTATTCAAAAAATATAATTTTACAGCAAGGTTTCCTTTGTATGTCTTTCCATCTTTTTGTCTTCTTTAATTTGAGAATCTATATAAGATTCTACTTACATTATGTTAGCATTTCACAACCCAGGGTCCATGGGCACTAATAAAATTATACTAATATTATAACATACTAATAAAATGTCATATATTATATATTTTGTCACAAATTAAATTATATCTATTATATCACATAATAAATTATATAACAGATATATTTGCATGCTATAATGTAATATATAATGTAAATATGTTAGTTAATTTTCTGTCACTATAACGAAATACCTAACATGAACAACCTATAAAGAAAAATGGGAAATTTTGATTCCCTGTTTTAGAGATTATATATTTTGAGATAGCTTTATGTAGTTCGGGATGCCCTCAAACTCAAAATATACTCCTTTATGAATTTGACTTCTAATCCTCATACCTCCATCTTCCCAATGATGGATTGCAAGCATGAACTAATTTTCTCTTTTATTTTGTAGTACTAAAAATTGAACTTTGCAAGGGCTTCATGCACACTAGGCAATCACTCAACCAGTTTAGCTATGTCCTCAATCTAGTATTAGTGGTTCAGATACAGAATTAGATGAAATCTTTGCCTTGAGTTCCTGATGTAGATACCAGATGGCAGTGCTGGGGAACCCATGGTAGAGCCAAACACTACCTTATTAGCCAGACAGCAAAAATGGAGAAAAACATGTCTCACAATTTCCTTTAAGAGAATGCCACAATTACCTAACAACTTGCCATTAGGTTTTATTCTTCTCCTTAGTTCTTTTACTTCCCAATATTACCACCCTGGTGACCAGTCTATGACACATAGTCCTTTGAGGAACATGTAACATCCAAATTCCGGAAATGCACATGAGAAAATTGATACATTGATAAATACTGAGCCCTGGTTTCTAAGTTACCAAATAAAGTATATTACCTAATGTTAGTTATGATCAGGACACACTGTTAAAAAATTTGCAACATTCAACTGTCACTTAAAGGATGGAAGAATATAATTGAACCTATGTAAACAGGGGAAATGCCATTTCTGACCATGGATTCAATATGATCCCACAAAGTTCTGAAATAAGATTATCTGTCAAGTTTTACAATTTCAGTATACTATAGGAAATCAATTCTCTTTCTTCATATTGCCATCATGTTTGCTATGGTAAATACAGTAACATCAGATCAAATATATTCTTTAATAAAACTTACTTTGGCCTGAATGCATTTGTGTGTGTGTGTGTGTGTGTTTGTGTGTGTGTGTGTGTGTGTGTGTGTGTACATGTGTGTGCCCCTTTGTGCATGTGCAAAATTCAGCTGACAACTTATCAAGATTTTATTCTCTCCTTCTATCTTCTTTCGAGGCAAAGTCTCTCTAGTTTCCATTGGACTCTCACTTCTTGCTGTAGGAGTACTGGGATTGCAGATGCATGCCACTGTGTTGGGATTTTTACATGGGTTCAGGTGATAAAATTCAGGACATCAAAAAATGCTATTACCTAACATGACATTTCTCTGGCCCCTCAAATATAGTTGTTATTGAATTGTCTACAGATGGCCCCCAATTTCCTTCTACCCCCAATTTCCTTTCCTTTTTACTTCCTACCCTATGAGATATTGAATATGACCTCATTCCTGTTTTCATGTGTCTGAAATTGGTAATAAAGACAGCAATAGTAGAATCTTTCCTAAGTCCAGGAGAACAGCCAGAAAGAGGTTCTCATTTGGAACTGATAAATCATGTCATGTGTATGATCAATGTGCCCTAGATTTTCAGCTGAAAATATTAAAAGTTTGTGCCATATTTCTGGAGATTAAATTTTAGGCTATGAGACCCTGAGACATTTCCATATCACCTTACATATCACCTCAGGCACTTCCATTAGAACAGCCACTTAGAACAATAAGCATTGTACCTGATTGACTTAACTATACTATTAACCAGTCATCTATTATGTGACTAACATAATCGCCAGTGGTGATGTGATTGAATATATGTCATGAAATATATTTATTTTTATAGGTCTTTATGTTTATAGGAGTTAGAAAAACTCCATAAAATTAAAAACAGAATAAAGTCATGTATGAAAACAAATAAAAGAACAATTTTTTGTGGCAATTATAACTAGCATTTGTCATGGTGTACTTGTTTATGCAATAATTTCATACATCCTAACATCAATTCTATTTCTGAGAACCTATTTCTATCAATATGTTTGTCAAATCATAATGAGAAGTTCTTGTGGCTGTATTTCATATATAACATTAACCTGATGTGATTCCAAGGCATTATCTGTTTATTTCCTATGATATTCCATGTTTGCTCTCTAGTCTCTCATGTCCATTTTCTGATTTTATTCATGAAACATGATGACTCCACTCCTACATCTGAGTGCCATTCATGTCTAACACAGAGAAATCTGCTTGTTTTCTTTTTCTAGATACCTGTCTTGGTCACACAGATAAGTTCCACCAACCATCCAGTGAAAGTCGGGCTGTCTGATGCATTTGTCGTTGTCCACAGGATCCAGCAAATCCCCAGTAGGTAGAAGAAGGGTAATTGAAAGTTAATCCTTCAATGGGGTCAGTTCTATGGACGTTGAACTCAAAATGTGAACTGCATAAAGACTAAACTCACTGCTGCTTCTTAATTCTACTATGTGGTTTATGTTACTAACTCTTGTTGGGTTTGTTTGTCCCCATTTCTCCTGAATTCATGAACTTAGGGGTAGAGAAAAGGCAAGGCTAATACGAGGACAGTTGGCTGCGGCTGTTTGGGGGCCTCTTTGCCATGGTTGCTCTGTTTTGCAGAGAGAGCTCTCCAACAACAGCAGCAAATGGATGTAAAAACAGTGATGAAATTATTTAGTTGACAGCCCTACAACTTTCCATGTTTATTTTTTTAAACAATTCTATGAGGAAAAAAGATTTGTGCCATTTTATATTTGGTCAAACCAGGGAATTTAAGCAAAGAAAAATGGAGATGAACCTGTGCCTACCAGAGAAGACACATCTCTCCTTTTTGTTTATATTATTTTTGCTGATGTCATTTATAGTTTGTGGAGTAAGAGAACAGTCATTATTTGCACAGTTTTTCACTATCTTTGCAGACTCAAATGCTGCTGGCGATGCACTTAGACCTACAGCATATACTCAGCATGCACAGAGCCCCTGCTTTCATCACAGCAAGGAACATAAAGGACCAAGTTAGAGTTCTGGCTGTGGTTTGTGCTGTACTGACCTCCTTCTGAGCATTCTGACTTGCCTCCTCTACTGCCAAAATAATCCTGAAGAATCCTTCAGGGTGCTAATCCTGAGAGTGTTTGCTTACTCCTTTAAATGTATTTATTTAAAGCAAGGAGTAATAGAAAAATACATTTAGAGAGTAGATCATCGACTTCCCCATTTTCAAGTTCTTCCTTTATTTTGTTCGGGATAGACTCAATTTATCACATGCATATGCTGCTTGTGACAGACTTGAGATGATTCTGTTTAATTATGTCATCTCTCAATTGCAAGAAGTAAATGAAGTGGAAACCAGACTCTCCAAAGAAACAGTGTGGCTGCTAACATTCAAGGATTCTCTTGGCATAGGATGGCATTTATTATAAGTGACAATTCTACTCAGGGAGGAACATGTGTAGTCTCTGTTGGGTTTCCCCTTGTTATCTCACAGACCGCAATAGGTAATATTCAAGGGCATTTTTAAATCAAGGCAGATTTTTCAGAAACTTAATTGTGCTGAGAACAAAGCCAAGATACATTAGTGTGTGTAAGGCAACATAAAGGCTTCCTGACAGAACTCTTAAATAAGAGGCAGAGCCAGGGAGATTCACGGCTGGCCTCTGTTTGAGGAGTAGTGTTCCCACATTCTTCCTTTCAGGGGAGTTAAATCGGGCATAACTTGAGTCAGTTATTCAACAAGGAAAAAGGGAACACTGTTTTTGGTTTACTTGCTGTTCCTTTCTATCCATGGAAGATGGTTTACATGCTGCTTGCAAAGAAGGCACTTTAGAGAACAAACCCACAAAAATACAAAATAACTTTATATTCTATAAAGCTCTTTTCATATGCAATATTATGTTTGGTTTTCCATGATTGTACAGTTGTCCTTAGAAGGGTCCTAAAATGTGGTTAAGGAAGTGTGGTCATGCTGTGAAGGGATAATCTTAGGAGAAAGAATCCCCAAAATATAAATTGAGTTAAATAAATTGGTCATAAATAAATGCATTTGAGTCTTGAGAACAGATTATGTATGCTCATTGGTCTCAGTACACACTTCATAAAACATTACCCAGGCTTACAGTTCAGAGCCCCTCAGTCCTCTGGAAGCTACATGCTTACAATGGCATCCACTGCTCTTGTTGACATACTATTCATTCCAGGGGCAAAAATAGACAGGAAGAGCTGTAATCTCTAATGCTGCTCTCCTGATGCTACACAAGACTGGGCTAAAGGAAGACAGTAGGAATTGATGAGTTCTGCTGGAACTATTAATCTGTTTAAGAATTTGTTCTGGTATTACAGAGTGAACCAGTGAATCACATGAGCTTTGTAGAAGAAAAGCATAGCTCCAGTTCAAGATCAACTGGAAGAGAAAAAAAAACCACACTTTTTAATGTCAGAAAATAGAATAACCCAAGGTTTGTGTAATACAAAGTCTGGTTCTTCCCTCAACTCCCTAGCCCCAGGAAATGAGATGATTGTTACAGACACATGACTTCCTGTTGCTTGTCCTATCAGAATGTAGGTAAATATTTTAATCCCTTGAAAAATTGTGTTAAGAAGTATCACTATCAGGAGTTATCCCTGTGTGGAATATGAATCCTCTGTTTCTGTTACTGCTTTTATTAATGACTGTACTTTGAGAATAACCAATTATTTTTAAGTAATGGGAAATTTCTTTCCTTTCATAGTTATACTAACTTTGTCTTTAGTTATTGGTCATAGATGTTGCTTTTCATATTAACATTTGTTAATGACATTTGTTTGCTTCTCTCTCTTTTCAACTTAGTATTTTGAAATTCTGGGTTCTGACTTTCTTCCTCCAGCCTCCCTGTTTCCCTGCCCTCCAAGCTTAATGAGGAAGGCATTTTCTCAAAGGAAAGTAGAAAAATCACAATGCTATATGGGTCTTTGAAAAAACAAAGCAGAAACAAAGGAACTTACAACTGTGTCACTAGTAATGAGAAATTTAACACACACAAATAAAATTTTTGCAAGACAAGCTTGCCTGTATAGTTGCTGACCTGACTGAAATGTTCTAGCACAAGTCACGAGAGGGACAGTTTACAGATCCCTTTGGATATTTCAGAAAAACACTTCTCACCAGTGATGTGAGAATCTACTACTTTCATAATATCAAACTCTTTCTCAACAGCAACTCCTGTGTCAAATTTATTGACCTTTGCTTTCTCCACTATTATATGTCACAGCTCAATAAAGACTCTCTTCTGTGTTCAGGAAAAGAACTTCAATTAATTTGTATAGCAACATGTCCTAAATGTTTCTAGCTTGTCTTTGAATTCTGGAAGCTTCTGTGCACATGTGCAATGTTTTTCACGAGTTTTCAGACTTGAGAAATTTTCCCAGAAGTCAGTGAGATTACTTAGAGTAAGACTAAAACAAGCTTAATAAACATAAGCAGAATTTTGTTTATTTGGTATTAAAAATAGCATTAGTTCTCAGGTAAGTTTTAGCAGAGAAGCACATTGACCAAGAATCTCTCCTGTATTGTTCATCAGCTCTGCTGCTTACTCACTGAATGTAGCAAAGATATGCTTCTGTTGTGGAAACTGAACCTTAGATGCTAAATTTTAAATTACATTTAATTAATTTTAAATTCAAGAACAGCACATGATCATTGGCTGCCATACTAGGGAAAGCAAAAATAGACCGTGTACATACACACAATATAGTTAAATAAAATGTTGCCTGCCAAGTCCTTTTACATTAACTTAGGAGTTAAATGTGATTAATAAAGAATTTCAAGCATGAGTATACTTGTTCACCAGTAAATTTTGAAATACAATCATTATAATAATATTAACTTACAATTTTTTGTTTGATGGTAGGGTATAGTCATTGTAATTTAACAATTACAACTTTTAATGTGAGATGAAAACACAATCATGTAAAAATTTTTTTTCAAAATTATTTCATAGAACCCATTTCAAGTGCTTCCAGAAGAGCCTAGTTTACTATGGCAGTCATCGTCAGTCCTGTCATTCATTTAGGCCAAATCAGTCTATAAGTCTCCAGTGAATGGTGTAAGCTGATCTCCATTCTAAGCACAAAGCCCTTCAAAATTATTCATTCTGCAGCATGTAAAACTGCTTCCCTTTGCAGCAACTCTCCATTTGATTCTCAAGCCTGAACCAGCTCACCAAGCTTCAATGAAAGGATAAATAAATAATCAAGCTCTCTTTTGTAAAATACCATCTTATTAAAGAGCATTGTGCAAAATGATATTCATTTTAATTCATACAGCCTTAACATACTTTATATGGTTGGTCCTGTCTTGATTTTTTAAAAATGTGTATAGATAGTTGTGTGTGAGAGTGTGTGTGAGTATGTTTGTGGTAGAATGTGTGTCTGTGTGTGTGTGTGTTACTGTGTATGTGAGGGTGTGTATGTCTATCCCTGTGTGTGTGTGTGTGTGTGTGTGTGTGTGTGTGTGTGTGTTTCCATAGTGTGAAGGAAGAGGGTGTGCTGGTTGCACATCCCTGTGTGCTCACACAGAGACAGAACAGGACAAGACTTTGAGGGTCTTCTGTCACTCTGTTTTATTACCTTGAGGGTCTTCATTGAAACAGAGCTTCACATTTCCTGTAGTCTGGTTGGCCAGTAACTCAGAGGATTTACCTGTCTGCACGCACCCCTCTGTATCTTACACACACAAAAGCTGTTAAGCAGCAATACCCAACCTTTTGCTGAATGGTAGGGATTCAAACTTATCCTCTGTGAGGTGTGTGCATGCACTAACACATCTCCCAGCCTGCTGAGGTGAACAGAAAAAAAGGAAAGAAGGAAGGAAAGAAGGGAGGGAGGGAGGGAGGGAGGGAGGGAGGGAGGAAGGAAGGAAGGAAGGAAGGAAGGAAGGAAGGAAGGAAGGAAGGAAGGAAGGACAGACGGATTCAGAATTCTTTGGAGATTAGAAAACTTTGACTCCTGAACTAACACATTTGAGAACTTTTTGTAGGGATGCTGTGAACAAGAAAGTTCTCCTTCAGGAACTCTTATTAAGCTATTTCATTTAATTTTTGTGCATTCATTGACTTTTTGTCTGAGCCCACATATGCCAAGATAAAACAAGTTTTTATTTATTTAAATTGTCTTGATTTATTTAAAGCAGCCACAGACAGGACTTTAACACAATGTGCTAGGCATTTGAACATTCACTTAGTCAATGCACACTTGCTAGCAGGCCCACTGGGACAGGATTAATTGATCTAAGCAAACGAGGTCGGCACAAAATGCTTTTATATCATACAACTAAGGAGTGAAAGAGTTCATCTTTACAGACCCTTCTCTGGAGCTGCCTTATTCCACAAAGCATGGGCATGAATTTGCTAACCAGTTAGAATTGAGTTGTTTTAAAATTATTTTTCACACTTAATTGTTTTAATTATCAAGACTTGATACTATATTGTCTTTGCTTTTCTATTTTGCATTTGCCTCAAATTTATACTTTCATTTAATAATTACTTAACTCATATATTACATAAGAAATATTTGCTTTCTTTATTCTTACCTACTACATATGGAGAATTGTAATTTATTCAGTTCTGGTCATGTACACTTACATACATATCAGAATGTTAATTCTCCCAAGGAAAGTTTGATATTGAAAACTTCTTTTTCAGTACAGTTTGTACTACTGTGGTGTAGTCCAGACAATCTAAATGATTGAGCCCTGAATACTGTTTTGCCAGTGCTCGTTTTGTCCAACACTTGATTCTAGAGGTGAAAAAAAAAAAAACATACTCCATTTTTCCAATATCCATTTAATGTAGCCATCATTTCTTTCTCTGAAGGAAAAATATAATTAATGGCATGAAGTTTAATAATGTGGCATTAGATTTAATGACTTCAAATGTGCATTACACAATCTTCCTCTAATTCTTGGGAGCAGGGGTGGGTTGCTTCTCTAGGGCTGGGAGAGCCATGTTAGTCACAGGGCTGTGAAGACTGCACTCTGTCCTACTCTAGCAGGCTTGTTCCTGATTCTCTGGCCACATGATTCCAAAAGGGAGTCATGAAATGAAGCATGGTTGAGCATCAGGAAGCTGGTGAGGAAAGAAGCTTGGGGAGGGGGCGTGTAGGTTTTGTTCCCCATAGTTCTGATTTCCTTTATAAGTGCTGAAATGTTACCCTTAGGCTTAAGCGGTGTCCCGAACCTGGAGAAGTCGAGAGGGAATGAGGAAGAAGTGCAGAGGTTTAGATGGACACACTTCCTGGTCAGCCAAATGTATTCTGCTTTATCCAACCTTTGATTGATGCTTCATGGAATCATGACAGAATTAGAAGAACAAAATTCGTAGCTAACCCATTAAAATGATTTTCTATATGCTTTCTTTTGCGACTTTCACTAACTAAGTCTGTCACTACTTCTCTGCGTGGGAAGCTTGTAGCTGCTGTAATAATATCCTGTTTTCCCTTAACTTTTTGTTTACTTTCCCTGAGTCTTCATGCTGAGAATGAATCTTGTGATGTGCATGACCTACTGTTTACTTTAAAGAGTACAGGGTAGACTGAGAGCTGGGATCAATTTGGATTAGAAAACAAATCAGATAGAATCTTTTGGAACCAGTCATTAAGCATGGGAAACACAAATAAGAAAATGATAGCAAAACATAGGTTTGACCATTCAATGGACTAAGATATTTAAGTAAACATACGGATGGATCAAAGAAGGAAATTACCATTATATTCTCTTGTGAACATGTGCTTTTAAGGCAGGCAAGCAAAGAAGCAGAATCCAGTTAATTCACTGAGGGTAGATGTGGAGAGAGATAAGATTCTTAGAGGCCCTGTACGACCACACTGGCCCTACTGAAAGGATTTGTATTGGCTCAGGACCCCCAAGGCCAAGTTCTCAGCATAAAGGAAATTTATTTGCCCCAGAAGGACAGAGGACATAGACTAAGAGACAAAGACAGGGGATAATGGAGAGGAGGAAGAGTTATTTATCCCCAGAGGAGAACAAAGGACTGCCTCTGGATAGAGAGGACACGGACATGGCACATAGGAAAATGGCAGTTTATAAAGGAAAAAAGGGTAAATCCTGTGTCAGAGTGAGGTGATTAATTTTAATTGGGCATATTAATTAGATGAACTAAAGTGGCCTGTTGATTGTTGGACTTCAATACTTTGATAGCTGAACCTTGGTAGTCAGCCTCAGGAGGAGGAAGTGGCCAAATAAGGGAGTAGTCCTTGGTGGCTAGCTTTAGGAATGTAATCTAATGGTTTTTAAAAAGTCAGAGAGAATGGGAGAGAAGAGCAAGACCTACCAGAGCCATGCCTGCCATGCTTTTGCTGGCCAGAGCCCCTCCACCTACCCTGATGGTGATCAAACTTCCTCAAACCAACAGTTCAACATTTGTACATTGCACACTATCACCAGAATATCATAATCATGGAACTGTATTTTTTCCAGGTGTTACTATGTGAAGGTTTATTTTATTTTATTTTCTAGTTTGTAACCGTCCTTAGCCAATAGTCAATCTTAGTTTTTTAAAAGTGATAGGAAAATAACTGAAGTAATAAACATTTATTTTAACATCATTATGGCTTATTTTATTGAAGATATATGAGCTAAATACATTTCTGGAATCATATGAAAGCTTCTAGGCTTGACAGGGCCAACCAGTGAATAAATTCCCAATGAGTTGTCTCCGAATTATGACAGAAGCAACCATTTAGAAGCTGTCATTGACTGGAGGGTCACCAAACAGAATGATGCTCATTAATTTAAGTCTTGTTAAGTTCATCTCTTCCTAATAGTTGGGTAGTAGGCAGGCAATAGGATCTGCATTAAAAAAATAGAAAATGGTTTCTCCTTCCCCCCATTGCATACACCCTATTTCCAGGGCTTCCCAGTCATTGCCACTACCTGAGGATTTCAAATTATGCTATGACATGAACAATGTGCTGATGAGGTAGAAATCAGCTAACATGACGGACACTTTTCCAACTTTGCTATAAAGACCTGAGAACCTTTATCCTAATAATTGTATTATATGCCCTTATTCTTTTTACTTCTAGGAACTAAATTGTGTAAAAAACATGGGAAGGAAATATATTAGGAACTTATTCAACTTAGATGGAGGAAAAATAATGAGCAGTCATTATCTTTTCTGCAAAAGTTAAAGACTAAAGAAGATGCTGTGACTGCTTATCTCAAGGAAACATCTCAAGAAAAAATTTTTTTTTCTATTTTCTAATGGCAGAGGAAATTTATCCTTCCTAAGTTGTTAGTGATTGAAGAGAATATACATGCTTCTTTCAATTATGCAGAAAACTAATTTGATTAGTGATTTTAAACATTGTTTTCCAGTCCCATTAATATGAAGAGCTTTCCACTGAATGACACAATGAATGTGAAATTATATATTTCCCCACCTAAGACAGGTTCGAGGTAAAGCCCATCCAGTGAAGAGACTGCTAGCTAAAAATTTAAACCTCTATATCATGTACATACGTATCCAACAAATGTTTTTTTTATCACTTATGTGGAAAGTACAGATTGAGATTTAAGATATTTCCCTGAGTTTGCAGGTCTCCAAATAACTGCAACACACACACAACCTCAGAGATTTCTTGGTAGATTTCCGTATTTTGAAGGGTTTGATACATGAAATCCCAATGACAAGAGGACTCAGTTTCTCTCATGTTAAAGCTGCAGTGTCTTTTTCAGGAATGGATGCTACTTCTATGTCAATTATTAAAATGTTCTTGTTTAAGATTGGAGAGATGTTCAAAGCTGATTTTCTTTACTTGTTATTTTTATAGATGTTCGAAGAAGAACAATTTATGAATATCACCGAGTAGAACTTCAAATGTCAAAAATTACCAACATTTCAGCTGTGGAGATGACCCCACTCCCCAGTAAGTTAATTTAAAATAGTGAAGTGGGAAAAATATCAAATTTGACAATCTGATCTGTTAAGTAATTTGGCTTATAATTATTGTGTTCAGTATGCAATTCTAATTGTATTTGTCAAGCATAAGTATCTTGATGCTTAGTGTGTACAGGGATGGGTGGTGATATTTGGTTTGGATAAGTAGTCTCTCTCCCCTCCACACTGTCAATTAGTCTTGATGAGTTATTCTCTCTTATTTCTTAGCATGTCTCCAGTTCAATAGCTGTGGTACTTGTGTATCCTCTCAGATTGGCTTCAACTGCAGTTGGTGTAGTAAACTTCAAAGGTAAAATAACAATTTATAAGCATGATTTTTTTTATTTTTAAAGGCTTGTTACCTAGACCTACTGAGTTATAAGTTTTGACAAGTGTATAGATCATGTATGCATTGAATGTATTGGTGTGAACATATATATGTTGTGTATGCTCATATATGTTATATACAAACATATAGCATATAGGCATAGTTGAACAGACAAAACTGCAAAATGTGCTCAGAAAAGGATATTTCAAAATATTCCTTTGTCAAACACTTAAAATGACAAAGTGCCTCAATAGTTTATAAGGCCATTTGTAATTTTCTGTGAGGTCAATGTAGTTGCTGAAACTGAATGGATGGATATTTTCAGCCCTTATTCTATAGAAAGCATGGCATGAGCTATGTGTTCCACAGCAGGAATGTATTTCAGTTATCACATGTATGTTCTTAAAAAATTCCTATCCAGTAGCTAAAAGATCATTATTCAAGGTTACTGATGCAGGCTGAAGTTGACCTTCCTATGATTGGAATGTGCATGTGGCTTTAGCCTTGTGCTCTAATTGACTTAGAAACTTGAGATGCATAGTTTACTCAAAAATATTTACTGGTTGTCTTCCATGGTAAAGGAGATTGCTCAATCTCAGGAGTTTCACAGAAACTTTACGGTGTGAGAGATATATGACACTGGAGAGAAGATTGTTGTTCCTGGAAATGATGGATGGATGGACACTCTTCCACCAAAAACTTGTGTAAATTAGTGACACTGAGATGACTCAAGTGGGGAATCAGTTCAATGGATACCTCTTGGTTCTCGGGAAACAGAGTGCCTTAATTAGGTTTCTCTGGAAGAACAGAATGAATAGAATGGATTTATATTATAAAAAGGGATAAATTATATTGGTTTACACAATATAGCTCTAGGTAGTTCTGCTATGGCTGTCTAAATGCCGAAAGGGGTGAATCCCATTGTTGTTATGCCACAAAGCAGAAAGTCCCAGTAGTCCCAGTGTGATTCTGAAGCCCTGGAAATTTTCTGGAAAGCAGCTGCTCTTTATTTATGATGGAAGGCCAAAGAAGCTTTGGTTTGATGGAGTCAGAAGAAGTAACAATGTGATCTATTCCTCACCATAAAACCCAAAGGCAAGCAGACAAGCATCTAGAGAAAGGTCATCACCCCTCTGCTGGAAAAATCCTTTTCTCACCAGACCAGAGGCATGTCTGTTAGTTCCAGATCCAACCAAATCAGCAATCAAGAGTGCCTATCACATGAAGCATAGCTGTAAAAGATGAAATACAGAAGATTCTTAAGCAGTCACTCTGTCAGTGACTGTCATTTGTTGAACCATTGTGCACATCCAAGCTGCAATGATGAATATGGCCAGAATCCCTGCACCCAGGTGGAGTTACAGCCTTCAGCATTTGGCGTCTATGAAAAGACATCTTCTCCCTCCAGGTGGTGTTCCTCAATGGCTTGCTACCATAGAGGACAGAAGTTGTCCCCTCATCTCCCTGCTGCTACATTGTTGCCATGCTAAAGGCATGCTAAGGGACATATTAAATGCTGTTGAAGGAGCAAAGGTTGAATGCAAAATTCTTCATGACAATCTTAGGAAACATTTTTAACTGGCTAACTTTGGAGTAACCACTGCAATATTGCAGCTAGAATAATGTTGTTTATGAGAACCTTAGTTTTGTTCTCAACTGAACATGCTGTGCAAGCCATTTCCTTTGGGAAATGAATTTCAAATGATGAGAAAGCAAGCAGGCAGTTAGCATTTTCCACAGCATATTTTAAGTGACTTATGCATTCAGAGTGGGTAGAATCTCTGCAAATCAAGGATCGGTGGCTATACATATATTTCGCTAAGATTTTGTAAAGATCACATGCATCTTAGAAGTCATTCAAATCTGTTTAGATTCTGACCTCTGAAATGAAAAATGTCCAAAGCAATTGAGTGAAAGACACTGATCAGCCATCTTCATAGTACTTCAAGATCAAGTTGATTGACTACCATCCTGAGCCATTACAATTAGAGTAAGGCTTATATGCCTTTCTTCAATTTTTCATATTCTCTCAGATGTGTTAAAAGCAAAGACCATGTATAACATTTCCTAGGAATACCTTGATATTATATTATCTAATTGATAAATTATGATTAGTTTCTGGATGAATAAATAATGTGTAGGTTTTTCTGGGACTAAAGTATGTTCCAAGATAAGAGATTGTCCAGTGCTAAAGGTTAAAGGTCTAATGAAAACCAGCACAAGTGATGGCCCATATCAGTGTACGATGTTTTTTTGTTTTGTTTTGTTTTGTTTTGGGTTTTTTTGGGCTTGTTATTTGAAATAGGGTCTTACTTAACCCAGGGTAACCTTAAATACTCCATTTTCCTGCCTCAGTTTCCAACATACTATGATAACAGGCATGTACATTTCCAAAGGATAATTGGAATTTCTGTCTGAAACAATGATAATGTCAATGAAGGTTGTGCAGACTCATCTAGAAACATATCTAAGGTTAACCACTTTTTAAAGATTCAGAAATACATGTTCTGACTTTGAAAAAAAAGCAACATTTTCATCAAAGCATACCCACCTGTTGAAATCTGTTTCTATTCTTAGCTTTTCTGTTTTATTGAGGGATTTCTCAGCCAGGTAGCATTCGTCAGAAATTATAGACATTTTATTAAGAGTATATTTGTGGCAGTGAACAAGCAAGGGCCCTTGGGCTAAGTACTTCCTCGGGTTTCTGGCCTGGTGATGAGTTTGGAAACTGAGTTTGCATCTGTGTGCCTTCCAGATTTGGGTCTTGCTAGCTCACCTGATCTACTTTGTATGTCACAGGTGGGCGCATTAAGCAAGCTAATTTTAAACTGCTGTGCCATTGATGCTGCAAGAAAATTAGATGATTTTTCAAAATAGCATAACCAAAACATAGAGGAGAGGTACAATATTTCAAAGACTACTATGTGTTAGTGACAACACAGTAAATGTGAAATGTGATTCAGAGGATTCATCGATCACAAGCATATGTTTTTACATGTTACTGTCTCGTGTTCTGTTGAATATGGAGCACAGATTTAAAATATCAGATTCCATTTCAATTTTGAGCAACCCACTTATAGTCACAGCAACATTTGTCTCATTAATTGGTTTAACTTGGGCTCATTGCACTTTTATTTGAGTTAATTTCCCCACTAAATTTTACTAATTTCTCCTTCGACCTGTAAGGTCTCAAACTTTGTTTTGCGGTTCAGCATTATTTTCCCAGACTTCAGTGCTTTTATAAGACAAAATAACAGAATAAGAAACACATTAAGTAGCACAAATATAGCATTGATTTTTTTAAATCCAACCTTTCTTTCTTGCATGTGATTGTTTGTTGTGGACTGATAATCAGCTGTTAGTAATTACTCAACTCTCAAATGGGCTTGCTCAAAGAAAGGTAATTTTAACTGGTTTGTTTATTTTCATTAATTTCTATTTTGGGGGAGCAAAAACCAAGACAAAATGTGTGCCATGACTGGTCCAGAATCTAAGATTATTTGTGTTATAGGCACACATAACAAGATCCAGGATTGAAAGCATTGAATGAAATACTTATCCCATGGTTTTCTAGGTAGGCTTGTGTTTATTTCCTGTTTGTGAACTGACAGAACTTGAATTAATCATTTTTTTTTTAAAAAATTGAATTGAATTGTTTTTAATCCTGACCTCAGTGTGCCCTCCTTCCTATCCTCCCTTTCTCTCCCCTCTTCCCTCCCCTACCCATTCCATTCCTCCCTTTCTATTCAGAAAAAGGGGCAGGCCTCCCATAGGTATCAACAAATCATGTCATATCAAGTTGTAGTAAGACTAAGCACCACCACCTCTTGTATTAAGGCTGGGTAAGGCATTTCAATATAAGGAATAAGTTACCAAGAGTCAGACAAATCTTAAGGGACAGCCCCTGCACCCATTTTTAGGAATCCTATAGGTAGAGCAAGCTACACAACTATCACATATATGTAGAGGGGCTAGGTAGGTTCCATGCAGGCTCCCTCACTGTTGGTTCAGAGTGTGCGAGCTTCCCTGAGCCTCTCTCTCTTCAGCAGGATTCCTTGAGGTTGGCATAATGATTGGGCGTGGGTCTCTGCATCTGTTTCCTTCAGTTACTGGATGAAGGCTCTGTAATGACGATTGGGGTAGTCACCAATCTGATCACAGGAGATAACCAGTTCAGACTACTTATCCACTTTGCTAGGAATTTTAGCTGGGATCATCCTTGTAGCTACCTGGGAGTTTCCCTTGCATCAGGTTTCTACCTAACTCAAACCCCTCCCCCATTTCAGTCATGTCTTTCAGTATTCTCCCCATCCATCTACCCTCAACAAAATACCTCAAGTTCCCATCCCTGCCCACCCCCAATCCACCCAGATCTATTCTATTTCCCTTTCCCAGGGAGATTCTCCCATTAGGATCTCATTACCTAGTCACTCTGGGTCTGTGGATTGTAACATGGTTATCTTTTACTTTATAGCTAATATTCGCTATGACTGAGGATATAGTATGTTTGTATTTCTGTGTCTGGGTTACCTCACTCAGTATATTTCTAGTTCTATCCATTTGTCTTCAAATTTCCTGATAGCATTGCTTTTAACAATAGAAGTATTCCATTTTCATCTGTTCTTCAGTTGAGGGACATCTAGATGGTTTTCATGTTCTGGCTATTACAAATAAAGCTTGTATGAACATAGTTGATCAAGTGTCCTTGTGGTGTGGTTGAGCATCCTTTGGGTATATGCCCAAGAACAGTATAGCTGCGTCCTGAGGTAGACTGATTCCTAATTTTCTAAGAAACCGTCATAGGGATTTCCAAAGTGCCTGTGCAAGTTTGTGCTTCCACAAGCAATGGAGGAGTGTTCACCTTGCTCCACATCCTCTCAAGCACAAGATGTCATTTGTGTTTGATCTTAGCCCTTCTGACAGGTGTAAGATGGAATCTCAGAGATGTTCTGATGAATAAGAATGTTGAAAATTTCTTTAAG